ATATTTAGTTTATAAACTATGACATTTATAAATGTATGAATCATATGGTGAAAAACTGACTTTGAAAAATAAATCTGTTCATTTTTTCTTATAAAAGGCTAAATAAAACAAAAATATTGGTGGTAATTTTCGACTGTGTAACTTTACATACGGCACCATATGAAACCAAGTTGGATTTGATGCAATATGTGGTTGCATGCAGTTTTTCACAAATCTGTGTTCATCCTTCCTTTTGAGAGATCCAGCTTTTCTAAAATGCAATTTTTACATAACTTTTTTAGTTTGAACATTTGATAACTTTACTTTGTTCCATACTGAATTAAATATGGGCTCCTGAGATTTTTAGACCATTACTTTGTTTTTCTTCTTACGTTTTACACAATGTCCCAACATTTTCAAATATTTTTGTATTGTTGCTAAACGKAAGCGAAGACATACGTACCTCTGTGTTTAAAGCAGTGATACATAAGGCTTTCTTTACTCTGAGGAAAGGTGGGTGAGAGAGCATCACTAGATCCTGAGTTAGACAGAGGAATCCCAGTTTCATTCTGATAGGAAGACAGGACTTGAGCGTGCCCTGGGAAAGCTCCTCCACGGAGTTTTGCTGCGAGGTGGCCGTGTGAGGAAATCATCCGCTGACGGACCGTGTTCTTTGATATAACTGGATATTCCTTCCTATAAARAGGTAGCAGCAACAAAAGAGGAAGGGTTTAAACATGTACTTTCTAAAAGAGTCCTTCTTTGATGAAATGTGTAAACATACCCGTCGATTCTGGAAACACGCAGATCTCCTTCACTGCCTCGAAATCCTTTAGCAAACGGGTTGTTTTCTATCTTCAGCTGAGTGATCTAAAAAATATCTTCTATTAAAGCTTTTGGACTATTTTAAATCAATCAAACCACACATAAAGCAAAAATAATTCCATATTTCTGCTAAAGAAACACAAGAGACCTCATGTATAAACGGTGGGTACGCATAAAAAAGTTGTGTGCGCCAGGTTCTACGCCCATGTTGTGATGTATAAAAACCAACGCTGCGTGAAAGTGTGCGTATATTTACACACACTTTTCACCTGCTGTGAGAATGTGCGGCAGCCACGCAAAGTTTTTCAGCCGACAGTTTTAACTCACAAAGTCATGAATCTGACCTGAATCCACAGAAATATGACTCTGTTGTGTTTTCTGGATGTAAGGAGCGTCTGAACACGCTGTTTGATTTTTATTTTAGTTTGAGTTTTTATTGTTTAAACTGAACGATGATGAAACTGAACCCCAGGACTGAAAATCATTTAACCTCAGACAAGAAAATAGATCAGTCTAAAACTGATCAAAGAACCTCAGTCCAGTCTGTAAACTGGTTTTATGTTTTTGTCACATAGTTGAAAACCTTTTGGGTCCTGCAGGCCGTAAAAACCCGACACATTACGTGCYGCAAAAAATAAATAAGTAAAATAAYAAAGGCTGAAGAGAGGGATCAAAATCGGATGCAAATGGCGGCTCACTYTACGGTAAGAATAATTATTTTTTCTGTGTGTAACCTTCTGGCTGATGCTGAGTTGAGTTGTGGCTGTAGTGCGCTTTGGGTAGATTCTCGTGCCAGGTGTGCGCACCCTCGCCAACTGGGAAGGTGTTCATATGTGTCAACCCCTTTGGACGTTTACCTGTCTAATGAGCCTCAAACATCRATATTTTTTGCTAAAAATCCGTAAGCTACCACTCGTACTCGCTGGTGGGGGTGGGATGGGGGTCTGTCCGTGGAGATGACAGCGCCTGCTGTAACGCAGGAGGAAAGGAGAGAGGAAAAAGTGGATAAAGGGATGTTTTTTGTTTATTTTTTTTAACGTCCGTTCAACGCCGTGTTCAACTAAATAGACAACAACTAACCAGACTTCAACATCACATTCGGGAGATGTCTGTAAATTTCAGGAAAATCTCAGGCTTTGGTTATCCCGTGCGAATGCGTCAAACAATGACACTCCAGCAATGCACACTAATGTTTTCCTGTTTCTCTTTATTATTATTATTCAGCTTATTATTTCGTCTTCTTCCACGCCTCCTGCATACTTTGTCCTYCAGCTGCCATTGTAATTTCTATCTGTAATGGTCCTGTGCCAAATGATTGCTATGCCTTCTGGTGCCTGTGCAACTTGTAGATTTTTAAATATTAATGTTTAAACTTTATTCCAAAATTCATATAATGGGAGTCAATGGGGCCTTGTAATGGTCCAATACTGCCCCATGCTGTACTCAACTTGGTACTGCTCCATACTTTATTAATATTTAATCCCATATGTTCAGTGTTTACAATACTAAAATGTTGTATTTTGATGTTTTACTGTGTCCTTATCTTAATATTTCTCTATTGTTGTAATATTATGCAGTTTAGTGTCAATAATTGTATTGGCAATGTGGCCTCTTTCTGCACACATACAAAGCAACCCCTGGCACCACCATCTGCCACAGCTCCAATGGTCCAATGGTCAATGCCATGGACTTTCATGTGGGACATTAGGGTTCAAAACCCAACTAAAGCAACTTTAACAAAAAATCTCTTCAAACTTCATATTGTCACACAATTACCTTAATTACAAACACCTYCTCACGTGACAGCCACAAGCTGGTATAGAAAACACATTTGAACTTGGTCCCATTTCATTCTGCAAGTCCAATGCTGCAATGACATGCTACATGGCAATGCACACTTGTTTTTACATCGTAAAAACCCATGTCTAGTTTAGACCGTTTTCTAACTCATTCTCCGTTTAATGTATAATTTCCCTGAATCTAAAAATCATCTCTGATCCCACAGAGAGGACAATCTGAGGAGAATCTCACACGCTGGACACATTTACATCTATTTTACAGATTTAAATGGAGGTGTGTCGGGAGGAGTCTCACGTGCGCTCAGTTCTACGTTCATTGGGATGTATAAAGGAAAGCTGCGCAGGAACCTGCGTATGCATGGATTTATACATCTGAATATTTTGGTGCGGTGCACATTTCTAAATTTGTCCGTACGTCAACTTTTAGTGTGAAAGCTGCGCAATCCTTTATGCATGAGGCCCCAGAACCTTACAATAACTAAACCAAGTCAARGTCAGAAAACGTTGTTCCACTGTGCCAAGTCTTCAGTTTTAGAATAAACAGGTAACCAAATAATCATTGTAGTTATTTTTAATAATCAGGTTGAAATGGAAAGTTATGGCCTAAATGTAAACTTGAATTGCATTTTAATCACCTGTTTTTCTTACTCGCAGAGCTCTTCATCATGTCTTGTCTGAGCACATACGTTTCTGCAGACCTGGGGTCTCATTTATAAAGGATTGCGTGGAAACCATACTAAAAATGAACGTATGGCTAAAAAGTGAAAATGGCGTACACCAAAAAATATTCAGATTTATAAAACCGTGCATACGCATGTTTCTGCACCTTTCCTTTATAAATCACAGCCGCACGTCAGAGTTTGCGCACGAGGTCCCGCCTCAGGTTCTACCCTCTACACACCCACACTCAWCCATAAACAGTCAATGTAAAGTACCTCATGAATGTTAAGATGTATTTAAATCAGTCAGCTGATCAGTGATTGGCTCAGACACACTCTGTCATGCGTCTGGAGGATGGCAGGTGCTGACAGCTGCTCACATGAACAGATTGTCTGTAATTGATGCAGATTTTCCCTCATTTTGCAGGTTTACAGACGTTTAGAGTAATCTAATGATTTTTATCAAAAACTCAGTTTTAAATGTATTTTCTCTCAGAGCCTGCAGGACGATAAAACAAAAAATGAAACTTTTATAACACATCCACGCTGGTGAGGGCATGCGCACCCAAAGTGTGACTACAACCAAGCTTTTTTTCTGTGGTGCTGTTAAAGTGTCTCTTGTCGGGGAGGGGTCTGTGGGTCAGGGTGGTGAGGAGATGAATGGAGATGTGTGAACTTTTATTTAAGATTTAAGTTTTTTATTTCAAAGATCCTTATGGCTCAGCAACAGAAGCATTAATATTACTGTTAAGAAAGCTAAAGTCTATAAACTCTAAGTCTGATTCTGAAGGTAAATTAAATACCTGACAGTGATCATTACACAGTGTGGCTCTAATTCCTCACTTCACCATCTGTGTCGCAGTTTCACATCTCCAAAATGAGCGTACCCATGGGTCAGAGCTGGCTGAGGCACCGCACATTTTCACGTCAAGTTTGGATTTTATAAATCACAACCTTGGTGTGAAAAGTTGCGTACGCACGTTTCTGGGCTCGTTTTGTGCGTACGCAAGTTTTATAAATCTGGCCCCTGATCTCCTTCCTCTGTGACGTTAACACACCTACTCTGGATTAGAATTGGGCCAAGGAACTGGACCATCCCGTCACAACAATCAAAGTCAAGACTGCAGTCAAATCTTTACAAAGTGGTAAAAAAACAGCTGCCCAAACAAATTCTACAAAAGCTTTTGGAAACAGCTGGCCTCATTCCTATGAGAGATGTTTTTTACTACAGCTCTGCTCCCAGATCTTGAACCATATTTTTATCTTTATGAAATAGTGAAGACCCGTCGTCTCATTAGTTTAATGTTTGACTCCAAACTATTTTTTTTTATCTTGGCATGTTCATAATAGGGGTGCAACAATACATGTACCCGTATCGAACAGTGCTTTAGGTTCAATACACACTTGTATGGAACAATACAGATTTTTAAAATTTACTTTATCAACTTGTCTTCTGAAGATGCTCTGTGTTGAAGGATCAGTGGATCTGTGTTCGACTACTCCACCTAGGCTGCATTTTTGAGCACAGATCCACTGAGAAACTTGA